GGATATGGTTGCGGAAAGTGGTAAACCACATCACCCATTCAAAATCTGACGCATCCTGAAGAGATAGAGGGTATCAGTCACAGAAAGCTTAAATAGGATTAAATACGAGTCATTTATGTAATAACATAGTGATATGATCCTTGCCATTTTTCGGTCAAAGTAGTGCCATCCTGGTTTCACATTTTCCCTAAATGCCCTTCTGTTTACATGCTCTGGAAGTAAAAGAGAAAAGATTCATAAAAGCAGCAAGGTGCATTTTAGGCTAAATAATAAAACTTGCCACCTGACCACATCATGTTTCTATTATATTTTAAATCAAGAAGGATGTTGAAATTTGTTTCATTGCTATAAAATTACAATATTTATTGTGTAAAATGAACATTAGATTCACATGATTCAACAGCAAATAGGGTGAGCTCCAGCCTCCAGAGCAAAACCTAATAGCATTATATAAGAAAGATAAAAAAAGCCAGCCTGCATATTCAGAGGCTCTCTGTGATAATCCAGACTCTCATATATATTTTGAGATTATGAGATGATGGTCCTGTGAAATCTGAAAAAACTTTGTATCATGAATTACAAAGATAATACAAATTGCATAAAATCTTTTTTTTTAAGTCAAGGGTTGTTGAGCGGGTTTCAATGTAGGAATGGATTTAGAAATAACTAAATGATTAAGTCTAAAATTATGTTTATGTGCCAATAAGTAGACATAATCAATATGTATGTAATATGTGATATAGACAGTACCTGGCCTGGTTTGCTCCAGGACCAGCATGAATGCCAATAAGCAAAACAGTCTGCCCAGTGCCCACACACAAACAATAACACTATATAGTGTTCTAATTTACAATGAACAAAAGAAAATGCAACTTTATTCATGGTGTTCTAGGGCATCCATGATAGACATGAATATAATAAATACGTGTCCTTAATGTAGAAAGAAAAAGCAAGAGATAAAAATAAAGTGTACCACTGGAGGCCTCAATGATCCAGCTGCCTGCCCATAAGAGTGCAAGAGAAAGGACAGCAGTGTACATGTACAGCTCAATCTTGGGAAGGGCTGCCTTGATCCCCATGGTTAACCTGAAGAGAAGTCTTAACATTAGAATCCAATAAACTTAAGTTACACTTAAGTTACATGAAAATTATCTTACAAGGTAGGCCTAAAGGTAACGTTAAATCTTACCGTTACACACTACCCCCACAAGTTTAAGGTTGTTTTTATTGTTTGTCATGTTAAATGTTCATAAACCAATGATTAATTATAATGTCGAATCGTATTTATTTTGTATTTTATTATTTGTTTGTATTATACAATATTTTATTGGCTCCGCTGTCGTACTCACTAACGGCCGTTGGGGGTCAAACGTCACTCACACTTCTCAGATAAGTTATCCACCGGTCCTTCTCTTCTTTCCAGGTATTTTACAACCAGGTCAAAATGACACTATTTCAATACTTTTCGTATATAGAAAGGTATATTTGAGTTTAGTGAGAAAGTTGAGCTCAAAAACGGCAAGAAAATAAAAACACTTTGCTTCTGCCGTCGAACAATGGAAGGCGGGGAAATTTTCACCTTATGATATCAGCGGGCAATTATTTGTCCAATCACAGGAGATTGTTGTGACGTACCTATTAATAATAATGAGGTTACAAATTTGCAGTTGGAGTAAAAAAAGTTTTCAATTCATCATAAGATAAATATAATAAAGTGCTAGAATTCAAAATAGCATAGCCTATATATTTTAAATGTACTTTTTATTTTTATTTTATAATTGTGCTGATTATAATTCCCATTCAACAGTGACGTTGTCAAGAAACATTACATTCGGATTTGCACCCTTAATCAAGTTTTACTTGCAAAACTAGTTTCCAAAGTCCAATTTAAAGGAGTGGTGATTTGTAATGCTTCAAACATTAGTTTAAATGGTAGGCTACAACAAAAGCATATTAACTTGTAGGCCTATCTCATGAGCCTTCTAAATGTTAATTTAGCCTAATTTATTTGTGCTCGTTTCAGCACTTTCTCAATTCATTCGTTACCGTGAAATAGCAACATAATAATGTTCGTTACTGTGTCTGCTGTAGGCTAAACCACACTGCAAACTCTCAATGTAAAAAAAGCAATGATGATAACATGTTTTTATATATTGTTTAACTCATCAAAACAAGTTAAGCAAGTTTCAACCATTTAATGAAGTCAGTTCAATGTATTTTAAGTTACAATTACTTAAACATCCAAGTTGATTGCACTTAAAAATGTAAGGCAGCAACCTCTGCCAAGTGCAGTAAAATTAAATTAACAGTAATAGTAAAATTAAAAGCTGATATTTTGCAGGAAAAAAGACACTATTACCATAATTATGTAAAAGTATAGCATACACGCACACAATGCTCATCAATAATTAATATTATAGCTTATGCGTATTATTTTACGCATTAAACGATAACACCAAATGGGCTAGGCTATGTCTCCGCCTTCAGTAACAAAACTAAAACAAATTACAACAAAAACACTGGCACTTAGTTGACACCCAGTCTAATTCTCAGAAGACAAGACTAGTCAGTGACTTAAATGGGAGTGCCTGTTTTCACGGCTCCTCAGAAACAGCACAGTCAGCTGCGCCGCGCCGTACAACCTCTTCCTATTTTAGCCCGAGCAGTTGCTCATGGTAGTACAGTGCGGCAGCTGCAGCGCAATGCGATCTCCCACACATCAGGAGATCCTTCAGGAGCACGAGAAACCAAGGACGAGCGTGCTGCCACTCACTTTCCTTGATCTTAACAGTTAATTAATAACGAAGGCTTGCGTGTTGACTACCTGTTCAATTAAAATCAGAGTATTCGACTAATTAATATACAGGCAAATCCAAAGTGCGGTTAGATGATGCTGCAATGCAACCCACCAACCTCCAAACGCCCACACGCCGCCTTACTTGTTATGGTCCGTGGGACTCTATCTGTTTGCAACACCGTGTACAGTAAGTACAGTAGGCTAATTCAAAACCAGGTGCACTTGCTCAGTCAGTACTAACCTTGTATCTGCCTTTCACAGCCGTTCAGATGTTTGAAGACAGATGTCAACCCCCTCAAAATTAGGAGGAAAAAAAGAAAAGAAAAGGGGGGTGAGTTGGGGCTTCTCCTAATACATCCGTCCCGGTTTCCCAGTGCCGATGGTGCACTGTGAAAGGCAGCAGTATCTGGTGTGGATGTTGCGGGAGGGGGTGTAGAGAGAGTGTATTTATAATCCGGAGTGGAACCGCCGAGGGGTGGCACCAACTGTCCATCAAAAAGGCGCACAAATTGAAGAAGTGCTAATTGATGGCCGGTTGGAGAAATGCATTTGTTATGTTCTGGTCCGTCCGTGGGGATGATAGCCTATTAGCTACTGTCCCAAAGCAGAGAGCTCATCCAGTGAACCATCACCCACTTCTTCATGACATAACTTTGGTAGTCTATTTTTCCAACTGGGCTATGCATAGATCAATAATCTGATGAATCTGCAATGCGCACCATTTGTTATTAGCATTTTCCTCAGCGACGGGGCTCAAATCAATGGGGGTTAGGGTAAAGTGAGGGATTTTACTGACCCCAAACGAGGTGGGCCCGCAGATTTGTGCTGTAGGCTATACGCCTATACGCATCTTGATTTGATGATATCTTTATTTTGAACATAAATAAAAAATAAAAATAAAATAGTAATGAAAGAAACAAAGAATAGTGGTAAAAACAAATGAACAACAAAGGGTTTCCAAAAAAAGGGTTTCCAAAAACCCTATTTACCTGTGCAAAAAGGAGTAGGAAGAAGTAAAACTTTCCCATTTATATGACTTATACAAGCATTGATTCAATAAAATCTTCGCAACTTGCCTATAAGAAACCGGAATTATCTGGCTATTAGAAAGTCAAAAAGGTTACAATCACGCATTCATCTGAATACTTCTGTTTCTACTACATTTGCTCATTTTTAAACAGGCTGTTCTGATTATCACCCCAAAGTGACAAAAAGCACGGAAAAGAAACTGTAAATAAAGACAGGCTATTTTGTTCATAGTTCTGCAGCTAAACAAGACTATGTAAAATAAACAAATAATAGGCCAATAAATAAAAATTATATATATATATATAGGCCTATATTATATACTATATATATATATATATATATATATATATATATTACGTACAGGTTAACGGTTTATAGGCTTAAATATTACAAAAAGCAATAGCCTAGCTATAATTCAAAACAAAAAATGCATGGGTTAACATGACAATTTCATGTATTTGTGTTAATGTAGGTGTTAATTTCAAATAAAGACCAGATTGTTTGTTGTTGCTTATGTTTTTTATTTGTTTATTTATTTATTTTTTGACATAATTGACAACCTTTGGAAACACGCGAAATTAAAAAGGGGAAGAAAGGGGGGCCTTTGAAAGATGTTGGCGGTATTCCAACGTGCAACAATAATGTTGAGCAGCAGAGGGAGACATGCGATTGAAATTGACTGCGCACAGGGAAAGGCAAGCCCTTTATTTAAACCTTACAGTCAGAAATATAGGCCTATGGTCTGTTTCCCACTTCATAATACAGGCACAATTTGTTTTACTCCCTATTGCACAGTGTGATGCCAATTTACATATATCAGTTTCTTTACTGTAAATGACAGATGTTCATTTATTCGCATATCGAAGCTGATCGATAGCCTATGAAACAACAATAGGAAGAAATCAAAACAATCATTATTGTGAGCTATATAGCCTAGTTTTCCAAATCTCACTCTTATTATTCATTCAAGGATCACGAAGGATAACTGAAAACTATAAACCTGACCAATTGTTCGTGTATTTTATTTGGACTTCTTTTGTTTTTTAGTGTTAATTCCATAGTTGAGTCAGTCAGTCGAGTGTGTGAAGAGGACTCCTGTCTTGTCATTGGGCGGATTGCGCGCTCCCCGGCCGTGCTTTTATTTTTAATATGAGGGAGGGGGTTCCCAGAAAATACCTCCTCCTGCTGTTCCTCAGCTCTATCTCGTGAACATCAAACACACGCCGTCTCCATATTGGAAACAGAGATCAGAAAACACGGGAAAACATGAAGAGGCAGTTTTTGACCCTCGCTTAAGCGCACAGATGTCGCGGCGTTCTCCGCTATAGCTCCAGTAACGTTAGTTTAAACGCGAGCGTTCAGACATCGCGCGGGTCATTTATTCAGCCCAGAATCGGAGCTTTCATGGTCAGCTCGCTAACGCTATCTTATTTTAGCAATCCAGCCTCCTAATACTTGTTAGCCATTCGGCGCTGGCGCAGTTGATTTTTGTAATGCGCATCCGCACGGGCTGATTGATCAAATGTGTGTCCGCGACGCGTATTTTAATGCAACAAAACGCAAAGATTAGTGGTCGGGTGCAGTCCGTTCGCCCACGCTAGCCTCAGCGACAGCAGTCTGCTGGCTGGCTGCTGGAGATCTGCCATTAACTCGACTAGCTGTTAGCACAACCTGAAACACGGACACGGCCAGAACTCGCTGGAAAGAGGAGCTAACATCTCGTTTCCATGGACAACACGTCCATAATAACGCAGGTTACGAACCCCAAGGAGGAGGAGATACTCTCGTCAAATGCTGAGAAAGGTGAGAGGTGTTTTGTGCGTTGAAGTTGGTCACCGTTGCGCGTTTTGTTAGCTTTAACTTACCCACCATTTTAAACGAGCGGGCTGCGAGCCTGCGTTCGAGGACAATAATAATTTAATTCCTGTTTAGTCCAACATAAGCGATGATAAAGTGTTTTTTTATGCTTTCATATGACAACGTGTTACATTTGATGCAGAACAATCACCGAGTGTGTTTATATATTTGAATAGTCGCAAAGGCGCAATGTAAACTGCTAAAGTAAAGAGCCAAAGTTTTGGCTCTGTGAGCGTTGGTCGCCCGTCATGTGAATGGAGACCAACGTAAACATGTTTCTTTCTGTCACGGGGCAAGACTTGCATAAGTTGAGTGCTTTAAAGGGCACATGTTTTATTTAAGAAGCGGTGGACTTTTGACTTGTTGTTCTTTCAGTCATGCCAGCAGCAGGAATTGTTAAGTAGGCTAGATATGTTATTTAGTTGCCTACAATTTTGTTTTACAAAACAGCCAAATCAGTTTTGTGATAGCGCTGTGCAGGTCAGGATGACAACAAACATTTTTATGTGCCAGAAAGCACATTTTTAGTTTTTAAAGCACACCACTGATGAATACAGTATAACTTGTTGATTAAATCCAGCATTATCAAAACTAATAAAGTACAGTACATTAAGACAACTGTTTTGCACAAGTCTTTGGAAATCTTGTTTAAATATGCAAATGTGGCGTTATTAAATGAGAAATTCCAGAAAAGAAATAGGAACATTGGATTAATCTAGTTTTTTGTTTTGTTTTTGGTCGACACATTTAAGTCAATCATTTTTACTGAGGGGATTTTGGATATCTCTTTTTATTACTTCAAAAAAAAAAAAGTGGAATAGAAAAATTAAAGTTTGGTGTATGTCCATGGAGGTTTCTGGCTCAGTGCAGGAGAAAAGCTCGTTTTCAGTCTTTAAAGATATGTATCGACATTGAAATCTACAGGTGCAAATAGATAAAGCGTGTAATAAAAACTTTATTACTTATTTGAATGTTTTCTTTTCACTAGTCTTGATGTTTTATGAACATGTTACATGTTATGAAAACAAAATAGCCCAAAATCTCAAAATGAACTGAAAAATGCAAATAGTGTTTTGCCTTACAAGGATATTTGCCCACAAAATGAAAATTCTGTCATTCCAAACCTGTAAGACTTTCATTCATCTTCAGAACACAAATTAAATCTCTCTGATGAAATCTGAGAGCTTTCTGTCCCTCCATTGACAGCTAAGAAACTACCACTTTTTGACGCTTCAAAAAGTTCATAAACAGATCGTAAAACTAATCCATATTAATTAAGCGGTTTATTCCAAATTTTCTGAAGAGACTTGATCGCTTCATATGATGAACAGATTGAATTTAAGTTTTTATTCACATATGAAGAGTTCAGATGCAAAAGCCTCTAAGTGCTATTTGAAATTTTCTTCTAAATGACCATTTTTATCAAGCTTGTATATTTAAGTTCAGTAATTTCACTTAAATGGCAATGAAGATTACCTATTAATTGCCATTTAAGTGAAATTACTGAACTTAAATATACAAGCTTGATAAAAATGGTCATTTTAGAAGAAAATTTCAAATGGCATTTAGAGGCTTTTGCATCTGAACTCTTCATATAATCATTGATCGGCAAACATAAACAAAAGCTCAAACTAACTTGCTTGACGCACGAGAACAAACCTTATTGGTTCCTTGAGGACGCTCAAACATGCTGCATAACACACAATAAATTTACCTCATTGGTTCTTGTGTCCGAAATCTCCACTCAAACCACTACTCCCTACCCCCTATGAGCACTATATAGTTAGCTCACCAGCATAATAGAAACACCACTTTCGGACACTACTTGATCGTCTCTCGGCGCCGTTGATTACGTCATTGCTGTCGCACGTGTTTACAAACAATTTATACATGTCTGACAAAATTGTAAAACTACTACATATCATAAGTTAAACGAGACAGAACATAACTTACATTTGTATGACAAATTTGTATTGTTGATGAACTTTCTTTATGAACTTTTTGAAGCGTCAAAGTGGTAGTTGCTTAACTTGCTTAGTGGTCAATGGAGAGTAAGCTCTCAGATTTCATTAAAAAGATTTGTGTTTTGAAGATGAATGAAAGTATTACTGGTTTGGAACAATATGAGGTTGAGTGACTGACAGAATTTATTTTTTGGGGGGAAATATCCCTTTAAATAAGGATGTCCGAGGCTGAGGATGTCCGGCTCTGTGATAGGAGGTATTTGGATGGAGCACTTCCAGAGCTTTACCTTTGACCTCTGGGCGGCTGAGTGGAGAAGCTCTTCAACAGCTGCCCTCTCAAAACAGCACCGAAACAAGTTGAACAATCTAAAATGGTCCTTGCGCTTTTGATGGCGTGTTAGGCAACACTTAAATGCCTTTTGTGACTCTCATATACTGCCTTGATTTCATCCAGACCAGAGTTCCCTCTTCGGAGCCATAATGAGTCTTTTCAACATGTAGATTAGTATTAAGCCAGAAGTAATTAAAGTCAGTAGTAATTACAGGATTTTTTTTAAGGCAGCTGCTTGAGCTCTGATGGCACCTGATAGTCTGCCGCAGTGATCAATCTCTCTAGCCCGTTGCCTGACGGGGATCTTTTTTGCATTTTGCCCAGTATTATATAAAACGTCCTGTACTTTACTGCATTGTATTCGTTTACTTGTTTAGAGTGCATATGGAAATAGTTTATCATATATATAACTTTGTTCATTGGATGTTTTTGCAGCAATATTTTTGCTCTTTATATGTGGTAAAGGCCTTTAAATAAAAGTAAGCTTACAAACAGATACACAGTTATATTTTTTTTCTGTTGTGGCATTGCAAAAACACTCTCATTGTGACGGGCTACTCGGTTGACCTAAATATCGTGTTTTTTTTACAGCTCTTCTTACCATGATGCTGATTATGCTTTCTGACACTTCTTCTAATATTCCTGAGTGAAGACAAGCTGTTGTCCTCCCACTTATGAAAAATGATCCTAGCACTGCCATGCATTATTAGAAGCTGCTTTCTTAATCAAAATTATTGAAAGTCTACTTAAAGTGCTGTCTTTTAATAAGCTCAGTCTCAGAATCTTTTTAATGCAATTCAAAAATATTATTAGTGTAATGTATAGGTTCTTGTATTTTGCGGTGAAAAGCTTGAGATGTTCAGCAGCTGAACCTTTGAGATGGTGGCTAAAGGGGCGGGAGAGGTATGCTCGATTCTCATTGGCTGGTTGTTTTCTTAGCCCCGCCTCTGCTGCTGCTGCCCTCCTCTCTTCTTCCCTTTCTCCCTCAAATATTCCCCCTCGTCTGTGCCTCTGAAGTCATCAGTGAAGCTTCAGGAACGAGGGAAAATAGCCTCTGTCCCTTAAAATGGTGCTGAAGGCCGCAGCCAATGAGTGGAGGGACTAGGTTTTAGGAGCCTAAAGGGGACGGGGTGGGGTTTGTAAGCGAGTGGGGTCTAGTTTCATTTTTTTTTTCTGCTTGTCACTATTTTTAAAGGGCCTTTACTTGCTGGTGACCTCAGTGTTCACATTCAGAGCCTCCACTGTGGCGTTGGAATGAAGATTATTATTAGTGTGTGTGTGAATGAGGAGAGGAGAACTGCGAGGGTCTTTGACGTCCCGTAATTTTGTGCTGTGTATTGGTGTAAAGCCTGTCCAAATCATTTGTAATAGTCTGGAGTATTAATTAAAGATGCCATCATGTGAAATCTTGACTGGGAGAAAGGCATTTCCCTAAAGGGTGTTCAGGCATTCCTACCACCAAGTGTCCCTAATGAGTGCACATTTAAATGCCATGTATCATCCACCTTTTTCCTAACGAGCCTATTTCATTTTAGTTCATGGGTGGCACTTCCAGTTTGGGGAAGTTCAACGTAAAAAGACACGCAGCTCTAAAATTTTCTTCGTTTTCAGACTTATGCTTGGTATTTTAATGTAATGTGGTATGACAGGAATATCTATGGCAAGAGCTCTTTTCAGGTGCTGCAGTCTTTTCCTCCTTATATATATATTTTTTTTTTCCTTTGTATTCCACTGTAACGGTATTAAAAAGGACAGCATATACTGGACATTTGTGGTCTGCTGCTCTCCCAATTTAATTAACGTTATATCCCTAGAATAATTCTCTGGAATTCACTGAGAATCTCTTGTTGTTCTCTTTTTCCAGGTTTGTTTTCACACAGATGCTTTAAAATGTAATTTTCTCCCCTTTTCACTTTTAATCCTTATAACCAGTGTTTACTCGAATGTTTCTAAAGCAGGTAGAATTATTATTTTCTGTCACATTGATGGAAATCACTGTACTATCACTTAATGTTCCATCTTCCAGTTAATTAACAAATTTTGATTAAGGCAATGTGTTTCATTATACAGAAATATATTACTACACTGATTTTTAACACGTCCGTAATATTGCTGCGAAAATAATACGGGTTATTCATGGTCTGTGTGATATTAATTTGTTTATACTTTTACACTTAAAATTAGCTTTAATACAATGTTCGATGGTTGCAGGGTGAGTTGATTAATGTCATCATCTCATTGCACCCGGTTTTAAAAATGCCATTCGTTCATAGAGCAAAACTTAAGCTGATAGGTTAGTTCAACGGAAGTTGCTCCCATAATTCAGGCAAAAGATCATGGTGTAGGAGAAGTGGATATGCTTTACTGACTGAAATGAATCAGTGTAACTTGTAAAAATTAAAACTCTATTTAACTTCAGACCCTAGCCGTTCTGTATAGACTATTTATCTTGATTAAATGTATGTATTATTATGTTGATGTAAGTTTTAGAGTTATAAATAAAAACTTGGCCTGTTTAAAATAACAGTGTACACTGCCATTCAAAAGTTTGCGGTCAGGAGTTGGTTTTTTTAATGATAATTAATACTTGATGTATTAAATTTTGATTTCATCAAAAGTGAAAGTAAAGATATTCAAAACATTACAAAAGGTTTCTAATTCTAATAAATGCTGTTTTTTTTGTTTGCTTTTTTACTTTTTATTCATCAAAGAATTTTGAAATATCAGTTTTTCTGCTGCTGAAAATTCAGGAATAAATTGTAAAAGATTTAAAAATGATTTTAAAATGTAATCATATTTCACAATATTACTTTTGACTGTATTTTTAATCAATCCAGCTCTGGAGAGCTTGGTGAGAAAATTCTTTCTTTCTGACCCCAAACTTTTGAATACTAGCTGTATATAGCATTATATATCTGTAGCTGAGCATATATAATGTCAGTAAAAAGATCATGCATCCTTATTATTGTAGTCATTTGTTTTAAACCCATGTTCTCTCTGTCTGTTCTTTTTGTAGTTTCACTGTCTAACAGCAGCCTGAAGAAGAAGAGGACTCGCAGCATCTTCAGCTCGTTGTTCTGCTGCCTGAGGAGTTACGATGCCGAGCCGCCCACCCCCCCCAACAACAACAGCAGTCCTCTGCCGCCACCTGTGGAGGAAAACGGAGCTCCACCAAAGGTGAGACTGCCCACACATCCTCTTTATAACGGGAGCGATTACAGAAGATCAGATGCGTATTGATCCAGAGACTCTCGCCGTCATGTGTGTTTTCCTCGTGATAAATAGAAGTCATCACAACTCTCTCTCTTTTTTTTCTGTGCAGACTGTATCACATGTGTCTTAATTATAGTCCATTTGTCTTGTGGTTCAGCACCTCATTTCCTCTCCTGTTTGTTTCCTCTGTCTTCATCTCATGTCCCAGTGTGACCAGGTTGAGGTCATCCCTATCCCCAGTGTATGTATGACTCCACTCCACTCGGTGTCGTCTGTCTGTGTGCTCTCTCGCATGCCGCATGGAGCATCTCACCACTGTACTGTCCAATCAGCTCTGTGGACAGCGATGCACTTTGCCTGATGGATGCTTTCATACACCGTATATTACTACTACTGTGGCGACTGGAAAGCTTTATGTTTTTTCACACAATTATGGGCTCAATTAAGGCGTTTAGCAACATGTGTTGGCTATGCTCCCCCTCCCCTCCAGCTTTTTAACTATTGGGAGTATGACTACTTATAATTTGATGATGCAAGTGTGTATTTCACATGTTCTAGTCTGTTAAAAGGTGCTGAGCAATATTTTCACCAATTGAGTGTTTTTCTTCTGCTGGTCAGTCTAGCTACTTTTTACTTGGCATGCCAACTTTTTTACTGGCCTGTTCTTAGCTATGCTAATGTTAATGTTTAGTTTCCTTTTCACAGTTTTTGAAACTAGCTGGAAATTTGACAGCTATCTACATACATTTTTATGATATTTTTGTTGACTATGGCATGCGAAGCCAAACATTACTGTTTGGTTCGTCATTTAACATTACTGATGCCTTGAGGACTTAGATAAGATTTTGTTGAATTCTCAAAAAAGACTTGTTATCCAGCTAGATAATCTATCTTGGAGGTAGATCAGCAGGATGTACAAGAACAGTGTACAGTACATCACAAAAAAACAAACATTTAAGTTTTGTGTTATGTACAATGCCATTCAGAAGTTCTCAATGGTAGGCTGTTGAAGTCCAGATAGGAAGATCAGCTCTCATGATCAATCCCATAAGATTTTAGAAGTTCCGATCATACAGTCCCCGAATGAAGTTTCTGCTGATGATTTGCTGTACTGTTGTTTGTGTACTGAACAGGAACTCGCGGCCAGCCGAACTGTAAGTGTTCTGGTGTCTGTGTTCATTCAAGATCATGACTGCACTCCAGCGGTTCCTCCTAAGCTTGATTCATCCCATTAAACAGACAGGGATTTAGATTAGATAGACTCGACAGCATACTGCCTCCCTCTATAACAAGATTGCCTCTGCTTGAATTGAGACGGTGCAGCTAGGATTAGAGAACTGGATCAAGAGAGGGACCCATTCACCCGCAGCATATAAATAAAGTGATGGGATTTCATACAGACAGCCAGCCAGTGTTGAAGTCACTCTTGCACTCTCTAACCTTACCCATCCTGCATCGCTGATTAATGTGTGAAAAACCTCTTAATCCCCACATACGGACACAATCCTTTCCACTTCCGCTTGGAAAGAGCTGGGATGTTAGTGCATGCACGGCATCTGTGCAGCTCAGGAAACACACTTCCTAAAATGTTTCCCTTACAATTCCCAGAGGAAATGTGTAGATGGTTGGGGGATCGTGCTTCTTTCTGCTCATTTTGCTTCATAACAGTCTAACACGTCGTGGCTAAAACTCCCGTGCCTCATTTCTCACTCATTACGCTGAATTCGCTCCATGTTCATCATGCTAACTCTCTCTGTTTTTCATTTCCACAGCCTCCAGAGAAGTACCTCCTGCCTGAGGTTAACATAAATGACTATGGGAAAAAGTGTGTTGTAATAGACTTGGATGAGACTCTGGTGCACAGCTCGTTTAAGGTAATTCATTAATCATTTCCTGTAGAAATTAGCTCAAATCCTTTTCATTCAGGTATACAGTTCAGTATACAATAGGCTACATATTGTTTCAAAGCAGCTTTACAGTGATAACATGAAAATTGATACATTTTGGCTTAAACTTAAGTTCATTGGTGATTCAGTTCCATTGTAAAGATCGTCAGTTATTAAATTTGTTAATTTCGTCTATAAAGCAGATCTGCAAAAAACTCATGTCATCAACTCAGTTCAGTTCTCATTCAACAGCGTCAGGTATTTCCCAGAGAAAGGCAACCAGGAATGGTTCACAAATGCTATGAAACTGTGACTTCTCTCAGTATTTTGCTCAGTGACGGTGACCCACAGTGACCTATTTGCGTCAGAGATATATATGCACGCGGGCAGAACTTCCTGTGATGCTTGGTGACAGCACAGTCAGGGCTCATTTGTCTCTGCGGCTAGAAGGAGAGTAGAAGAGAAACCCTGATTGTGAAACTCAATAGTGAGCTTTTTATCATCTTGATCTGTTTGGCATGGGGTTGTGTGATGTTTAACCCTATATGGCATACTGTTTCATATTTGATGCGCAAAATTCTAAGGTCTCTGAATGATCAAAATGATCAACTTTGCTGCAAACCTGTTGTGCACAATCTACTGCATGTCTTCTCTCCTCTGATTGATGAGTTCATACTTTTTTAGCAAGTAAAAGACCTTTTAGTTTTACTTTTCTTTAATGAATTTTATAAACCAAACATAAGAGCGTTTATATTGTTGAAGAATTTTATTTAATTTTTTTGCAAATCATGTTAAAATTTGAGTAGATAACATGATGCATCGGAGGTTTGAGGAAAATGTCTCTATGTGAGTCACTGTATTGCCAAAATTAAAAATACAGAGCTTTGATCATAAAACTAAGCATTTCAAAAACTAAAAATAATTTTAATAAGACATTGTTTCATGTTTGTAGTCTGTTACACTCCCTTTAAAGATCTAATTAATTTACATGACATTACAAGCTATCATAATTTCATTCTTTTGGCAATAAATTATGCAAAAAAAAAAATGCATATTTTTTGCTCAGTTTGGGCTTACAAAAAAGGAAAATACCTCCATATTTCCTGTAAAAATAAATGTCTTATGTATCAAATATGATACTCAACAAAAACACTTTTTTCAAAAGCTTTTGTTATTTCATATGTCATGCTGTATGGAGTTAAATTAAGTCTCTGATCAACTGATTTCAGTCATGCTTGTAAGGACAAATGTGTGGGGTGTGCCATACTCAAACCTTCCTCACACCTGATTAGTAATGTTTGGAACCTGAAAGGTTTGTATTGAAAGAGCACAGACGCCCTCTGCTGTTTGTTGTCACTGCACTTTCAGTGCACTTATGCAAATTATAAGTAAATGGAGCTTATCACACATCAGTAACCTCTGATTGCTGTCATCTTGTTTATCAGCTGTTATTTTATTGCTGTATGATGTGATGAGATAGTTGAAGTGACAAATGAGCTCACTTGATTTAATATTTTTTTAAAAAGACAAAGTATGAAAGAGAACTATTACATTTGTTAATTTCACTTTTTTTTTTAAAGATGATCTAAGGAGTTACTTAAAAGGATAGTTCACCCAAAAATAAAAATTACCCCATTTACTCGCCCTCAAGCCATCTTGGGTGTATATGAAATTCTTCTTTCAGACAAATACAATTGGAGTTATATTAAAAGATGTCCTGGCTCTTCCAAGCCTTATAATGGCAATGAATGGCCGTTTCTGTTTTGAAGTCAATCAAAGTGCATCAATCCATGATAAAAGTGCTCCACACTGCTAAGGGGGGTTAATAAAGGCCTTCTGAAGTGAAGTGATGCGTTTGTGTAAGAAAAATATCCATATTTAAAACTTTATCGACTAAAATAATTAGGTTCCGGTTGGCGGCCTACTCAAGTCGACTTGCAAGAATAATGCGTGACCATAGACTGTAAAAAATAGTGTGTGACGATACTTTATGACTGCGCTTTGATGGACTTTAAAACAGAAACAACCATTCACTGCCATTACAAAGCATAGAAGAGCCAGGAATTTTTATATAAATATATATATAACTCTGATTGTATTCGTCTGAAAAAATAATGCCATATACACCTAGGATGGCTTGAGGGTGAGTAAATCATGGGGTAATTTTCATTTTTGGGTGAACTATTCCTTTAAGATAGTGTTGTGTAATAGGCACATGAAATCTTTGAAAACCTTTGAAAATGATTTATTGGTTTTTAAAAGCAATATTTTGAAAGATGTTTTTTTTTTTCAAGGTACACAAGTATACAGCCTGAGTGATGCTCACACGTTCAGTAAAACAATGGTTGAAATGAAAATGATGAATGAAAATGAAAATGACGATAATGAAAACGAATAACTTTGGTAAAGGCCACATTAAATAAAAACATATTTGAAGCTTATTGAGCCAGTGCATGACAAAACAAAACATGAATATTTAATAAGATTCATGCCTTTTGCCTGAAAGGCTGCACACAGAAAATGTGTAAAAATACAACTTTGGGTTGGCTTAGTTGGATCACTTCTTCTGGATCATAACACTGTTTGCATTTGTTTGTCTCTTTCATAGCCCATTAGCAATGCTGATTTCATCGTCCCAGTGGAGATAGATGGCACAGTGCATCAGGTACAGAATTGGAGACATGCACAGGTTTCATATTACACTCTAGTGTGTTCTATAGCAATTATGAAGCCATTTACAGGTTTTATGGCTGTGTCGGCCTCATTGGATGGAGTGGTGAACATGACTGAATGGCTGTTCCCTTGTTCAAGTAATCCAGGATAGGCTGTCTGTCCTGGGAGGCCTATTCATGATTACTTGCACTAGGTGGCAGCCGTTTGTCGTCCTGGAGCTGATGCAAATCATCTGTGCTTGATTTGTGTTTGAGAACACAGACTTTTGGATATATTATGTTTTTTTTATTATAGAACTTTTTATTTTATAAATATATTACTGCGAGTATAAATATTATTACTATTATATTTTACTATTATTATTATAATAGGTTTTATATATTATAAAGATCATTTAGATTAACTTACCGGTAAATGGCTCTGTTAATGACAAAATTGTACTATATACATAATATATTGTTTTATAAAGATTTGATCATTATTATAGATTATAATACATGTATAGAGTGCAACCTTGGCTGTCCACTTTTTCAGCTGTGTTGGTTACGGAAGTATGTTTTTCATTCATTTTTCCCATGGGGATTTAATTTGTTAAAACATTATAAGCCATGAACCAAGCCAACCAGCTATGAGGTGAATCATAACATAACCAACTTTGATTTGAAGCAAATATATTTGAAAATTAGATTTACTTATAGCTTTACTGAGGGAAAGAACTACAATCCCATGAAGCATTGCGAACAGCATAATCAAATTAAAAATGATCAAGAAATATAAAACTACTAAAAATGTTGATTTGTATATAGAAACAATATTTTTTTAAGCTTATTGCAACATGTGTATACATACAATTATTTTGAGAGCATAGAGAGACCGACTTGATTACATCATTCGCGGTGTTTCATGGGAGTAGGCGGAACTAAAAAGTTTGATTATTTCAGCATCATGGGTAATGTAGTTCTTTACCAGGAATTCCACTGTTAAACTGTAATTTTAGAAATAAGTTGAAATAATGTGGCCTGTCAGCTTCAACAGAGGTGTGTATGGTTGATTGACAACTTTGAAGCTCAAAGTAGGGCTGTCTAAAAAGGTTTCCAAGTTATTGTAACCCGACTATTGAACTCTAGTATGAACACTTATCATTCAAATGGACTTAAATGGCTCACAATATCTCCCTTCGTAGGTGTATGTGCTCAAAAGGCCACACGTCGACGAGTTCCTGCAGAAAATGGGCGAGCTGTTTGAATGCGTGCTTTTCACAGCCAGTCTAGCCAAGGTTTGTCCACCACACTGTGACACCGACTCATTTGATGTCCACAAACATGATAAAAGACTCAGCAGTCAGCATCTCATTACTCTCACAGTGCACACAACCTCACTGGCTGAAACAGTCTGAATGTTATTTAAGGGAGAAAGTACTGTGATATACCTGCCAGAGCCCTGCTGGGTGGGTGATGATTCATACCTGCTCTGCTAATATCTGACCCCCCTCTCTGTCTCTGTGTGGCCTGCGTTTGTTTTAGCCGCTAATGCATGGGTAAGTGTCTCTATGGCAACTGTGACTCTTCCAGAATGCGTGCCATGTACCAGTAGTTGCAGTCGCTGCTGCCTTCACCTTTATAAAGCTCACATTGTTTGAAGTTGGCCGCTTTTACGATACGCTGTGAAGTTTCATTTGTCTCCGTATCTGTAGCTAATGTCTCTGTTTTTTGTTCTTCTCATTCCTGTAAGTGACACATTAGCTGTATGTGGCACACTGTAGTTTAGATCACGTGTCTTGGTTGCTTCCATGTCTGTTATATTGAGACATTCGCTGTAGTAGCACGTATCTGACTATGGTTTTGTAGGCTTCCTTACACTCCTCTTTGTAGACGTTTTCGTTTGCATAGACATGGAAATAGTGTTACGTTGCCCTAGCAGCTTGCGTTTTCTCTGTTTTATATTTGTATTTGTTGCAGGGAGCAACTGGACAATTCCACAGTGACTCTGCAGTTTAATCAGTGCATGAGCTACTGGAAAAATACACCTTTAACTTGTCTAAGTGTCGTTTGTGTCTGTGTGTGCTTCAGTATGCCGACCCGGTGGCTGACCTGCTGGACCAGTGGGGTGTGTTTCGGGCGCGACTCTTCCGAGAATCCTGCGTTTTCCACAGAGGGAACTATGTTAAAGACCTTAGTCGGCTCGGGAGAGAGCTCAGGAACGTCATCATTGTGGACAACTCCCCTGCTTCCTACATTTTCCATCCTGAAAATGCTGTGAGTTTTGATTGCTGATGAAACTCTTAACCAAACAATAGTTTGGTTGTTAATGGACTTCTTTAGTAGGGTTAAGGAACCGAGTTACACTTCTTTAAAACAACAGCAAAAAACAAACAAACAATGGCATTCAGTTTGATTCCTGAATGATTGTCTCTGAATCAGTTTTTTTTTTCTTTTGCGAATCCCAATTGACTCCCAAATGATTATTTTTAGTGAATCAAATGCATAAAGCTTACTACTTACATTTAAATTACGTGTCATTAACAATAACAGTAAGTAGACATTAATGGCCTAAGACATGAAACGAGCAGTTTGCGTGAGAGAACGAACAGTATTTTTACCGTTTTTACCTCTTGTAACCACAGCCACGTCCAAGTGATCAGGGCGTGCGGCCGCTTTGTGGCTGTGGTTACTAGAGGTAAAATACTGTTCGTTTTTTCACACAAACCGCACGTTTCGTGTCTTAGGCCATCAATGTCTACTTACATTTACAAGTCATTAAATCATGTTTAATTTGGACTTCTCTGTGCATGCTCTTTGAGGTGGTGACCATAGACATCCATTATATGACTGACAGACACGAACGGTTTGACTGAAAAATATAAAAATTGAAACTACTGCGGAAACAAAGACTAGGTATCTTGGATGCTAGGGAATCTTGGAGTTCGAAATGTTCTCTCTAAAACGCCTTTATGTAAATGGGGTCACGTGCTGCGTTTGTCCAGTCAGTAACGTTGAGACTGCAAATATGCAAAAAGGACTGGTGTTTAGGAATGTATAGTGTGAAACAACAGCTTTTGAATCCCAGGATTAACTGCTAACCCCGGGTATAATATGAGCAGTGTTAAAGGTGAATAAAGATGACCCAGGATTCCGTTAACCCAGGGTTTAGAATGACCCAGGGTTCTAATGTCAGGTTCTAATCATGTGTGTGTGTGTCTTGTGAAGGTTCCCGTGCAGTCGTGGTTTGATGACATGACTGACACAGAGCTCCTGGACCTGCTGCCTTTCTTTGAGGGACTGAGCAAAGAGGAGGACGTGTACGGGGTGCTGCAGAACCTGAGGGGCAGGTAGCAGCCTGACGAGGGGCCAGTGGAGAGCCCATCCCAGCTCCTCTCTCCTCTCTCCTCCAGCCTGCAGTCCTCACCTCACCGAGAACACTCACGCCCCCAACCAGGACACGCACACCGTGACATGAACAGACTTTTTACATTTAGTGGACTCTTAAATATTTCTCTTTTGAAAAGTGCTTATGATAAACCAAAAAAAATCCACTTTTTCTTTCCTTTTTTGAAATGAAAATATTCAAGTCATAACCATTCTCCGAGGTGTTGCTATGCAGGTAGAAATCCGTAGGGTTAAAGGACTGTGGGGTTTTCTCTCTAACCCAACAAAGTGCCTTTTTTGAATGTCATTTTTATGGGGGAAATTAACATTTTGTACATGACATTTCCAGAGAACCTAATCTTTACAAGAATTATATGCTTTAAAACAAACGGAGGCAGGTCAGTCTCTTTTTATAAAAGCACTGTTAAAGAGGCCAGAGATTTTTAATTATGTTAAGCTGGGTACACGTCACCATCTCTGTTTTTCTTGTGCTCCTTTTTATTTTCAATTTTGCTTTCGCTTGTGCCATTTATATAGACTGAAACTATTATCTAGACTTGTATATGTTTAGTTTGTTTTCTAAGAGCAAAGGAATGCATTTGCACTTGTTAGGTTACTGGTCTCGAATACCACAGCCTCTTTTGCCAACTTACCTAGGAGTAACGATCTTAAACCCAAGATTGTATCGTGCCAATCACTAACAGTTTGTCTCGCAATCCGATGCTGAAGTACGTTTTGTTTTCATCAAAGAAGCCAGATGTTGGTGCTGAAGACAAATGTTTGGACTTTTCCAAAAAAAAAAATCGTTTGCCCAGTCAACATAGAATTTTAGTCGCTAAATCCCTTTTGGTGAAGTAGCGTAGACACTGCAGTTGTCCACCCCCCATTTTTATTAGTAAGGGTGCGTGTCTGATATGGAAGTTAGGATGCACAATTGCAAATGTATCCCTTTTATCATTTTACATTTTTTTTCATCGGGTCATTGAGAATTGGTACAGGTCCATCATCTTTATATTTTATATTTTTAAAATTAGTTACCCTGCTGCTGCTACCACTGTACAGTACACTACAAAAGACCTCCCTGTAGGTACGACCAGTACCAGCCCAGGGACTAGAGCGCTGTGCAGCTTGTGCCAGATTATCATCCATGGGCGGAAAGGACTCGTTTTTAGTCGCAGTCGGTCCTTGAAGGGTTTGCTCTTGTCCTGTTGCAGCGCAGCCCCCCTGTAGATGCGATTCTGAGTTTCAAAAGTGTTCGGCTCAAGCTGTGCAGACTCTGCATCACCGCAGTGCCTAAGATGAGAGGAGAAGCTGAACAGGCAATAACCTCTCTCTCTCTCTTTCTCTCTCTGCCCAGAGTCCGCCACGTCACAGTTCAGTCCTGTTTTTTTGTTGTTTTTCTTTCTTCGTCTACCTCTCTTCATCCTGTTCCGCGGCAGGCGATGGAAAGCAATCCATTCTCACTTTTATGGTCTTCTGTCAGTATTTGAGATGTATGCTGTTTTCTGCTTGTTGACGTGCTCTACAGCCTCTCCTTCAATCGTCGGCTCTTTCAAATCTGCTGGTTGCTGAAGGTCTTCTAGCTGACTGGATAATTTGGCTTGTTAATTTTGATTTCTAACTTTTATATCTAATCGTTAAACACAATATTTCTCACATTTCTAAATGTCACCTTTTTTAAATAATATGATCTCCTCCAGGTGATCTGACAGCGTTGAAACACTATTGGTTTTGCTCACTGTTTTCATTTACTTTTTTTTTCTCCATGTGTTTTTCACTTCTAAACTGCCAGGTGCTGTTTTTAATACACTTTGCTTTCATGATGTCACGTCAATGTTTGAAGTCGGCACATCCAATTAAATTTTGCCTTATTTTCTTCGTTTTTTAGTAAGCCATACAGACACGAGTTACTCTAGGCTTGAAATCAGTTTGGAGAGGCTGTACAGTGCTAGTGTTTAGAGTATATTTCAAGTTGAATTAATTCATAGTTGTTGCAAGTTTTCTTCCGGACTCTGACGTGTTATATTAAAGCACCTTTTAAAAAAAACAAATCAATGCCTTATTTTATATTGCTGTACAAACTAAAGGTCTTGTATCCTCAGATACGGAAGTGTATTACTTTCACTTGAAGAAGAAAAATCTACTCTGTTTTTCTGAATTAACAAGTCAATTATCAACAGAATTACGAGAATTTTTCATGGAAAAAAGTTTTTGCTCTGTTTTTCTGAATTAATGACTTCATTATCTCAAAAATTTAAAATTCTGATTCTGATTTTCATTTCTTCTAAAGAAACTTTAGCATATCCATTGAAAAAGAGGTTGAAATATTTTAGTGTAGTTTTGCACTAAAAAAAACACTTGTGCTAATTTGGGGTAATAATTATAAACAAAAAAATGAGTGATTATAAAAAAATAGTATTTCACCAAAACTATGTCCTAATGTCTTCCATTAGTAGGTTAGAAAAATATCTTAATTTGAAAAATATAATAAATTTTGATATTATTTGGAAATATCACTGGAAATATCAACATCGAAATAGCATGATTTGAATTGATCCAAAGAGCATCAGACTCCTCTGTGCAAAGTCACATGATCAATATCACACATTTACTGTGATTATTGACTGTTTGACTTATTTCTTTTGGCAACTTTCCTGTCATGATAAAAACTATTTTACTGCACTCAGAGGGGCCCCCTGAGTCCGTGGCACCAAGCGCCGTCCCATAATTCCACCGTCCATGAACCCACTATTTTTATAATGGGATAAATGCTATGTGGGATCACAATATCTCAGTTCAGGAAGGGTCTAGAGCCTCCATTTTTGCACTCAGGTCTAAGTCTCATGACCCTCTATCAGAATCCAGAGTTTTGAGAAGATTGGGGATACTTAATTTTTCACCCGAAAAAAAAAAAACGAAAGGGGTACCACTGTCGTTTTTTTTTTCTGGTCGAAAATTTGAGTTTCGATATCTCACCTCTGGAAGGGTCTAGAGCCTCCATTGTTGCACTCAGGTCTAAGTATCGTGGCCCTCTATCAGAATCCAGTGTTTTGAGAAGATTGGTGATACTTAATTTTTCACCCCCCCCCCAAAAAAAACGTAAGGGGTAACACTGTCGTTTTTTTTTTTCTGGTCGAAAATTTGAGTTTCGATATCACAGGTCTGGAAGGGTCTAGAGCCTCCATTTTTGCACTCAGGTCTAAGTCTCATGGCCCTCTATCAGAATCCAGAGTTTTGAAAAGATTGGGGATACTTAATTTTTCGCCCCCCAAAAGAAACGTAAGTGGTAACACTGTCGTTTTTTTTCTGGTCGAAATTTTGAGTTTCGATATCTCAGCTCTGGAAGGGTCTAGAGCCTCCATTTTTGCACTCAGGTCTAAGTCTCATGGCCCTCTATCAGAATCCAGAGTTTTGAAAAGATTGGGGATACTTAATTTTTCGCCCCCCAAAAGAAACGTAAGTGGTAACACTGTCGTTTTTTTTCTGGTCGAAATTTTGAGTTTCGATATCTCAGCTCTGGAAGGGTCTAGAGCCTCCATTTTTGCACTCAGGTCTAAGTCTCATGGCCCTCTATCAGAATCCAGAGTTTTGAGAAGATTGGGGATACTTACTTTTTCGCCCCCAAAAAAAACGTAAGGGGTAACACTGTCGTTTTTTTTTTTTTCTGGTCGAAATTTTGAGTTTCGATATCTCAGCTCTGGAAGGGTCTAGAGCCTCCATTTTTGCACTCAGGTGTAAGTCTCAGTGCCCTCTATCAGAATCCAGAGTTTCAAAAAGATAGGGGATACTTAATTTTTCGCCCCCCCCCCAAAAAAACGTAAGGGGTAACACTGTCGTTTTTTTTTCGGGTCGAAATTTTGAGTTTCGATATCTCAGCTCTGGAAGGGTCTAGAGCCTCCATTTTTGCACTCAGCTGTAAGTGTCAGTGCCCTCTATCAGAATCCAGAGTTTCGAGAAGATTGGGGATACTTAATTTTTCGCCCCCCCAAAAAAAACGTAAGGGGTAACACTGTCGTTTTTTTTCGGGTCGAAATTTTGAGTTTCGATAGCTCAGCTCTGGAAGAGTCTAGAGCCTCCATTTTTGCACTCAGGTGTAAGTCTCAGTGCCCTCTATCAGAATCCAGAGTTTCGAGAAGATTGGGGATACTTAATTTTTCGCCCCCCAAAATAAAACGTAAGGGGTAACACTGTCGTTTTTTTTTCTGGTCGAAATTTTGAGTTTCGATATCTCAGCTCTGGAAGGGTCTAGAGCCTCCATTTTTGCACTCAGGTGTAAGTCTCAGTGCCCTCTATCAGAATCCAGAGTTTCGAGAAGATTGGGGATACTTAATTTTTCGCCCCCCCAAAAAAACGTAAGGGGTAACACTGTCGTTTTTTTTCGGGTCGAAATTTTGAGTTTCGATATCTCAGCTCTGGAAGAGTCTAGAGCCTCCATTTTTGCACTCAGGTGTAAGTCTCAGTGCCCTCTATCAGAATCCAGAGTTTCGAGAAGATTGGGGATACTTAATTTTTCGCCCCCCAAAAAAAAACGTAAGGGGTAACACTGTCGTTTTTTTTTCTGGTCGAAATTTTGAGATTTTCGATATCTCAGCTCTGGAAGGGTCTAGAGCCTCCATTTTTGCACTCAGGTGTAAGTCTCAGTGCCCTCTATCAAAATCCAGAGTTTCAAAAAGATAGGGGATACTTAATTTTTCGCCCCCCCCAAAAAAAAACGTAAGGGTTAACACTGTCGTTTTTTTTTCGGGTCGAAATTTTGAGTTTCGATATCTCAGCTCTGGAAGGGTCTAGAGCCTCCATTTTTGCACTCAGGTGTAAGTCTCAGTGCCCTCTATCAGAATCCAGAGTTTCGAGAAGATTGGGGATACTTAATTTTTCGCCCCCAAAAAAAACGTAAGGGGTAACACTGTCGTTTTTTTTTCGGGTCGAAATTTTGAGTTTCGATATCTCAGCTCTGGAAGGGTCTAGAGCCTCCATTTTTGCACTCAGGTGTAAGTCTCAGTGCCCTCTATCAGAATCCAGAGTTTTGAGAAGATTGGGGATACTTAATTTTTCGCCCAAAAAAAAAACGTAAGGGGTAACACTGTCGTTTTTTTTTCGGGTCGAAATTTTGAGTTTCGATATCTCAGCTCTGGAAGGGTCTAGAGCCTCCATTTTTGCACTCAGGTGTAAGTCTCAGTGCCCTCTATCAGAATCCAGAGTTTCGAGAAGATTGGGGATACTTAATTTTTCGCCCCAAAAAAAAAACGTAAGGGGTAACACTGTCGTTTTTTTTTTTTGGGTCGAAATTTTGAGTTTCGATATCTCAGCTCTGGAAGGGTCTAGAGCCTCCATTTTTGCACTCAGGTGTAAGTCTCAGTGCCCTCTATCAGAATCCAGAGTTTCGAGAAGATTGGAGAAACTTAATTTTTCGCCCAAAAAAAAAACGTAAGGGGTAACACTGTCGTTTTTTTTTCGGGTCGAAATTTTGAGTTTCGATATCTCAGCTCTGGAAGGGTCTAGAGCCTCCATTTTTGCACTCAGGTCTAAGTCTCATGGCCCTCTATCAGAATCCAGAGTTTCGAGAAGATTGGAGAAACTTAATTTTTCGCCCAAAAAAAAAAAACGTAAGGGGTAACACTGTCGTTTTTTTTTCGGGTCGAAATTTTGAGTTTCGATATCTCAGCTCTGGAAGGGTCTAGAGCCTCCATTTTTGCACTCAGGTCTAAGTCTCATGCCCTCTATCAGAATCCAGAGTTTCGAGAAGATTGGGGATACTTAATTTTTCGCCCAAAAAAAAAAACGTAAGGGGTAACACTGTCGTTTTTTTTTCGGGTCGAAATTTTGAGTTTCGATATCTCAGCTCTGGAAGGGTCTAGAGCCTCCATTTTTGCACTCAGGTGTAAGTCTCAGTGCCCTCTATCAGAATCCAGAGTTTCGAGAAGATTGGGGATACTTAATTTTTCGCCCCCCCCAAAAAAACGTAAGGGGTAACACTGTCGTTTTTTTTTCGGGTCGAAATTTTGAGTTTCGATATCTCAGCTCTGGAAGGGTCTAGAGCCTCCATTTTTGCACTCAGGTGTAAGTCTCAGTGCCCTCTATCAGAATCCAGAGTTTCGAGAAGATTGGGGATACTTAATTTTTCGCCCCCCAAAAAAAACGTAAGGGGTAACACTGTCGTTTTTTTTTCGGGTCGAAATTTTGAGTTTCGATATCTCAGCTCTGGAAGGGTCTAGAGCCTCCATTTTTGCACTCAGGTGTAAGTCTCAGTGCCCTCTATCAGAATCCAGAGTTTTGAGAAGATTGGGGATACTTAATTTTTCGCCCCCCCAAAAAAAACGTAAGGGCGGGGTAACACTGTCGGTTTTTTTTCGGGTCGAAATTTTGAGTTTCGATATCTCAGCTCTGGAAGGGTCTAGAGCCTCCATTTTTGCACTCAGGTGTAAGTCTCAGTGCCCTCTATCAGAATCCAGAGTTTTGAGAAGATTGGGGATACTTAATTTTTCGCCCAAAAAAAAAACGTAAGGGGTAACACTGTCGTTTTTTTTTTCGGGTCGAAATTTTGAGTTTCGATATCTCAGCTCTGGAAGGGTCTAGAGCCTCCATTTTTGCACTCAGGTGTAAGTCTCAGTGCCCTCTATCAGAATCCAGAGTTTCGAGAAGATTGGGGACACTTAATTTTTCGCCCCCCCAAAAAAAACGTAAGGGGTAACACTGTCGTTTTTTTTTTGGGTCGAAATTTTGAGTTTCGATATCTCAGCTCTGGAAGGGTCTAGAGCCTCCATTTTTGCACTCAGGTGTAAGTCTCAGTGCCCTCTATCAGAATCCAGAGTTTCGAGAAGATTGGGGATACTTAATTTTTCGCCCAAAAAAAAAAACGTAAGGGGTAACACTGTCGTTTTTTTTTCGGGTCGAAATTTTGAGTTTCGATATCTCAGCTCTGGAAGGGTCTAGAGCCTCCATTTTTGCACTCAGGTCTAAGTCTCATGGCCCTCTATCAGAATCCAGAGTTTCGAGAAGATTGGGGATACTTAATTTTTCGCCCCCCAAAAAAAAACGTAAGGGGTAACACTGT